TGTATGTATGTTTTTTGTTTTACTTTTGCTTTTTTAACTCAATCCTTTCAATATTAACAAACTCTGACTGCCTTGTCCAAACTGAGTTTGGGGATCTGCATAGCCCTGGTCAGGGTGACCATCTTAAGCCATCCCTATTCCAGAAGCCAGTCTATCTCGCTAGATAATACCTCTCCAGGCATTTCATCCCTCTCAGACTTCAACTATCATCACTCACCTCTCCCTCCATGTGGGAAGACAGTTATGGCAATTGATCACCATTCAATCTTCTTTATTTGACATTCATGAAGATTACATTCCGAAGCCTATTTATCTTAGGGAGGCTTTTCATTCTTTGCATTTTAATTTTGGAAAAGGATTATTTAAGACTCCATTTCATTTTGCTTTGCTTATTTTTGTGGTTGTTTGATGCTTGATATGTAATAATAAAGACACCATTTAATTCGGAGCTTGTTTGTTTCCAGCCCAAACTATCCTAAGAATAAATTGACAGCACTACTGAATTCGCATTGCAAATTTAAAAGTTTCAGACTTACATTGGAACTCATTTCCAAGGTTGGAGTTGGAAGCCGAGGTTGAGGTACTGGATTTCTTTGAAGAAAGCGCAGTGTTTTCTTTGGTTCAAGAACTTTATTCTTCTTAGCCAATAGTGCCTGAAACAGTATCAATTAATGTAATTATTTACTTTCATCTTTCCTTCCACTACCAGTTCTAAGTCTTAGATCTGAGTATCAATCGGCAGCTCGAAACTACCAGCTGTTCTGTGGGAGAAAGGTGAGGCTTTCTGCTCCCGTAAAGATTTACAGCCTTGGAAACCCTGTATAGGGTCGGTATGAGTCAGAACTGACTCCATGGCATATAACCACCACGACCACCATGGTTATGCTAGGTCAATCTGAGAAAGTCCCAACTAGGTTGCTTGTATTATCATTGTTGTTAAGTACCACTGAGTTGACCTATAGCAACCCTATATAGGGTTTCCAAGGAGTGGCTGGTGAGTTTGAACCACTGACCTTGTGGCTGAAACTGACTTTGCAGTCCAGCGCATTAACCCAGAGCACCCCACTAGGACTCTAGGGATGCTATATAGTTCTTGCTGTGGTACTGTAGGATAAGCACTTGGCCTCAAGGTCGGTTTGAACTGCAAGATTGGTGGTTCAAACTCCTCAGAAACCC